ATGTATATATATTTATATATATCAGTAAAAGACTTTAAGAAATAAGCCATTGTTTTCAAAGTAAAGCCACAAAGTAACCAACCTCGTTTCTATTTCACAAAATTAATTAAGTTATTAAGCTACTAAAGGGTCAAATAGACTTACTCTACCATTCTAGTTTTTAAAATAATTACAAGTAGCAGAAAAATATTTAATTTACTTTCCAAGTGGAAAAGTTTAAATTTTTAAGACATAAAAATATAAATAGAATGAATTCATCTTGTTTTCAGAATAAAATAAAAATAAAACTGAAGGAAGTGTGAACGCCAATTACCTAGCCAAGCTGGGTATTTATGTCTAAGCTTTCATTTGGCGACTAAAAAAATACATTTTTTTCCCTATTTTTTGCACTAAAATGCAAGAAAATATATTTTTTGTTGTCTTCCATTTTACTCATCGTGGCGCTAATTGAAATATTTTATCTGAAGCTAAAAATATTAAACCTTTTAAAAGAAGCGAAAAGAATTTTTTTCTGAAATTTCTTTTGTTAACAGATTTATTTTAACGGGAGAGTTGTTTTTTTTTTAATATAAAATAAAGAATAATAAAAAAGTGTAAGCTGGATGTAAACTTTCGTAAAGCTACTTATTAATGTTATTTTTTAAGTTGTCATATGAGACAAACATTGGTAAAGCTGGATGAGTTAGTAGAATTTGAAATGAAATGCAAAAGTATTTAAGCTTTCTAAAAGTATATTTTTGCGTATAACAAAAGCTTTTTTTAAATGGTTAGCATATATTAGTAGTTAACAAACAAATCGTATAAATAAAACAAGCTTATAAATTTAGTTTTAACAACTAAAAAATGCATCATTAATATATTTTAAAAAGTTTTTTAATTAAATAAAAATTAATGTATTTTTGTGAACTTTTTCTATGTGTCTTAATCTGCTTTGAAATAGTATGATAACTTCTTCAACTAAGAGTTATAATTTTTTATTAGTTTGCTTTAAAAAAATTCAAAATGAATTTAAACTAAGGATTTAACTTTCGTATATTAAATTTAAGAATAAATCTATATTTATTTTGAAGAGAAAGAGTGGAATTTGCCATTGATCGTTTCGTAATTCTTTTTGATAAGTATTAAAATCTTTAAAATAAATATTAGAGCAATCAAGCATTCCTAAGACAAATTTTATGACACTCAATTTTAATTTATGTGTATTCAAGTATGCTCTTTTTTTTAAATATTCTTACTCAATGCTAAAATATTAGTTATGAAGTAAATATAAACAAATATGAGGCTTACGAAAATAGAAAACAATTTATAAAGGCAGAAATGCTGCATTTAACAAAAGCAAAATATTTTGGCTCTATAAAATGTTACATAGTTCATACATGATATTGCTGATCACCGATCAATTTAGTTACTATAAGAATTTAGTTACTATAAGAAATGAACGAGTAACAATTTCGAAACAAGGGAAATAAGTTTTAATATGCTAACTTAGAATTATTTTTGCTTATTAATCATGAAATTTTGATATTCTTATTGTTCAATTTAATTTATTCGTAATTTTTGTCTTTTCATAAAAATTTATTTGTAGCAACTGGGAAGATACCCAAGGCGTCACTTGCCAGCTTAGATGGACTTACGTCAACTGATAAATTTCATGGATGGGCAACTCAGAAAAGGAAAAGGGTCAGAACTACCAAAATATGGTTAAATTTGCTATGTTTCGGACTCAATATGAACACCAAAAATCTCATTAATTTTTACCGAAGTGCTTTGGTAAGAGTTTTGGTAAAATCAATAATAAAATATGGTTTTACAATATGTGATAAAATTTTGTTAAGATTTATTGAAAGATAACTGAGAGCGTGGTAGAAAATCATTTATTCGGTAAAATCTATTTTTCTGTTTTGTATATTTTAATAAATGGGAGGTAATAAGAAGTGTAATTTAAAAAAAAAAAAGAATTTTTGGTAAACTGTTACCACATGAACGGAATAATTAGTAAATAAATGGTTTAAATATCGTATATTTTTGTTTTATTAACCAGCGTTTTTTTTTTATTTTATCAGAAATGTCATTACCATATTATACGGTGATTTTACCAGAATTTTCTTCTCCACGTATCTTGTATGTACCCTTAATAACCATGTTTTGTTAATTTTTTTAATGCAAACTGAATCGAACGAAAATTAACCGTCAACTATGAATTTTATTAGATAAAAGGAAATATGAAAAGGTTTATTACAATTTTACTGGAAAAAGTAACACGCAAAGGCACGATTGGTTTCCTCTAAAACCACTGCATCAAATACAGTGAACTCTCAGTTATGCACCGGTATAAGGGACCAAGAGAAAAAAGCGCATAAGTGAAAAACTTCAAAATTCTAAAACGCAACGTAAATTGCAGTGACAATATGAATAAATATGTTTCTAAAGATTAAATGTTAATATTTTTACTGTTTTGGTATTACATACCTTAAAACAATTTATTTTCTTACAAAATAATCTTAATACATGTTTGTATTTGTTTTTGCCGACTTATTTCAAAAACAGTTTTTTCCAGTTCATATAAATGGGATAAGGGGGAGTTTCAGAAGTAAAATTAAATTGTTAATAGTCACGAACAGTGTCTAAAGCTTCCAATACTGCTGTGTGATTTGGAGGAACTATATTATCCTCGTCAGTATCATCCACCACGTTCTCATAGTCCACAAGTTTTAGTTAGATATAAATGAACAGTTCTTCTCAAAAAATTTGAGTTTTATGGGAGGGGGTGAAACATCACATGATAAATTTCTAAGAAAAGTACTTGACGTCATTATATGCTGCACAATAAGTTGTTCGATTACTACTGTCACTAAACAGATCACCTCCTTTTATTTAGTCATAATGTCCATCTGACTGCAAGTAAGTGATCGCGGTGTCTCTCATCTTTCGTATTCCTGGTGTCTTTTTTTACTGCAAAACAGCATGGGAGTAAAACTAACCTCTGGACAAGAGGAATGGTCATTTTCTAAAAGATGAATGGGCTTTCATTGTTCTTGGTGTAACAGATAAGACACCCTATTCAAAATTCTAGAAAGAATGTCTTTCCAGAAACACGAAAATGATAAGGTCACAGGGGGAAGCAAATTCAATAGGAACTAACAACATATATTTCTTTTTATTTGTAACAAGGATTGCTTATTTGCTTCATTTTTAAGTTAAAAATTTTTTTTAAAAAAAGAAAAACTATTTAAAGGATTAAAATGTTAGCCTAAAATTTCGGCGCATAATTGAAAAATTTATTTTTAGAGCGACTCATAAACGAAGGATGTTTATCATTATTTTCCCATCTAATGTACTGGGACCTATAAAAATCGGCGTATAAATGAAAAAGGTGCAGAAAAGAGGTGGTGCATAAGTGAGAGGTCACTGTATTTTCTTTCTGCATTTAAAAAGTGAGAAGTAATATTTTATATTCCTATAAAAGTAAAGTGATATTTTTTTCTTTGAAAATTACGCAAAAAGGAGTTACAAAATTGTGTTTATTTTATGGTCGTTTAAACATAATTTGTTAGAAGCACTGTATCTAAATATAACACTGATTTAGAAACAAAACAGTCTAAACTAAACAAAGCAGTCATCCAACAGTTATCCAAAAAAAGAAAGAAAACTGAAACTGGATCAAATTAAATAAAAGCGAAATTATGCACGAAATATTCATAAAATTAATAATGAATACAATTGACATAACCGTATGACTTAGAACCAATAATTTCTGAGGTATGAAGATTCTACCAGACAAGACCAGGACATATATTCCCTGCAGAAACTGTTCGGATGTCATGTAAACACCGAGACACATTTTCGAATACCCAGAATTCACACCATCATGTTCTAAAATCAGGAATGGTGCCACTTGACAATCTTATATCTGTTCTCTATACTCAAGACAAAGAATATATATCTTATCCGTCGTTGAACAGCCGACCCAATTTTGGGTTTACAACTACTAATATTCAACTCAGTAGCCTTGTAATTTTGAACCAATCCAGAAGACAAGGAAACTCTTGGATCAGTACCCCCAGAGGTTTTAATTTGTTATGGGAACATGGAAGACTTAGCGATTCGACAGATTTAACGTGTAATCAGGGACAATTTACTACACGAGGAGTCTTCGGCCGGCAGGAATCGAACCCTGGAACTCTTGGACATGGACCCAGTGCCCTACCAACCAGGCTATCCCAGCCTTAAAGAATATATATTTTATAACCGTCGTTGAACAGCCGACCCAATTTTATGGGTTTACGACTACTAATGTTCAACTCCGTAGCCTTGTAATTTTGAACCCAATCCAGAAGACAAGGGAACTCCTGGATCGAGTATTGGGAGAAATTTTGCCTCCGTGGATGACTTTTTGATGGAGCTAACTCGCATTTACGTTACATGGAGAGGAAGATCACGAGAACCTCAAACGGTTAGCCTGACGGCAAGGGAACACCTATGTAAAATTATATACCTATGTTAAAATAATAAATTACATTTATTTTTTAATGAATTCGCCGCAAGTAAATATTTTCCTTGCTTAATGAGCAAAAGTAAACCTTTTTTTTCTTCAAAAGCGTATAAGTCTGCAAAGCGCAAACGCATCAACGGGTTTTGAATCACTTTCCATTAGCTGTTTACATGAGTTGGGAGAGACAAAGGAAACAGGTGTTTGTTGTGAGCGGGGGGGGAATGGGGTTACTTATGGTGTGAGGAGGGACTCTCTGTTAGGAGGCAGGTTGTTTTCCTAGCAATATTTCCACACATTGATGGAGTTAACCGGTTCCTCCAGAATAGGTTTACATGGGGATCTATGAGAGCTGGTTTTCTTCACCACTGAAGATGACGGTCGCAATCATACTTTCAGTGTTCTTTGAGAATCCATGGGCACGAAATCAACAACAATTGTCATAATCTCATACTTCAATATCACATCCTTATCCTAAATTCTTATTAAAAATAACTATATGAAGACTTACTTCGACTCATGTTTTCGCTAATGTGTAGACCAGATGTCTGTTGTCTTCCTCCAAAAACCATTTCTTCATTGCTCATAGTATAAATACGTGATATGGTAGCTGTGCATTTGAGCTTCATATTGCCGTTTTGAAAATGTTGACTTGTCACAATAAATTTAAGTCCGAGACTTGATGTCTCTAGCCCATCTGCATGGAGTGTAGTGGAATATTCTGTTTCATATTCTGGACCCACCTAGAAAATTGTAAACTACAGATTTTAAAATATATTTTTATTATAAATGTCTTATTATAAATATATATTCTTATTTTATATATAAGATTTTTTCATATTGCTTATTTTTAAAATTCATGAGCAGGAGAGGTGAGAGGTTTTGGATATTGGGGTGGTATGGGGCGCTTTTAATTTGGAGTAAAAAAGAATATTTTTTAAGAAATAATTTAGACACTGTCATGATATGGAGTAACCACAGCATTATACTTATTTACGTTTATTAGTTGGGCAAAGGCTCTTATGTATTTTTGTGACAAAAAGCTATTTTACAATTACCTTCTAAAAAAAGAAGTACCTTATCCAACTGTTTTTTTACAGACTTTTTCTGTATATTTGACAGCTTTAAACTACTTTGTTAATAAAATGGTTTTTCACTGTTTTTCATCTTAATCATCAACGGATAAAACCGTCATTTTGAATTCTGGCTTTTGCACCCAGTTTTACTTACTGTACGATAACTCTACTTTTCTTAAATCATTTAACTAATGTGTTCTTTGTTTGCTCTTATTTTTCAGCAATTATTTGATGATTTTGAAAATCCTATAAGTTAAGATTTTCAAGATAAAAATAGTTTACAATTTTTTTCATGCCGAGTCAATAGAACTCTGGTAGCTCAGGGGACAGAGTCATCACGTCCCATTGAGGTGACACAGGTTCGAGGCTCTAGACTAGTTGACCGAATGCTGCTTTTTGCTTGCATCGACCACTTTGTTAATTATGCTCCATCTCAATATATAATTTACAATAGCATAGAGTATGGCTCCAGGCAGAAACAGAATTAGACTTTCCAATTTGAAAATACAATTTAAATTTATGAGAGTTGCTAACGAAAAAGGAATTTGAAATTTTTTGCAGAAAAAAATTTTATATGGGTTATTCTCACAAAAACAATTATTTTTATGTCAATAATTTTCATTAGAGGACAGTAGCTTTCGAAACAAAGCTTAACAAAATACTGAAATTTATAATTTTTTATTGAGCTTTACTATGCCAATGAATCACTCGCTTGTCCTTACTGTTAATTTGAAGATAAATCTTAATAATAAATCTCATGATAAAGGAGATATATTAACAAAACTGTATTTTTTATTTTTGAATACTGAAACATAGGTTTTAGAAATTTAATTTTAATTCAGTTTCTGACAAAAAATATTGCTGCAACCCAATTGTAAATGTTGTTTTCAGTATTATTTCCTGACAACAATGCATTAACCACCCATATAACTGCTCAGATTGAAAACATTTTAAGAAAATCTTTAGTGGCTTCTATATTTCAAAATATAATAAAATTATAGCATGTTTTTTATGTAGAAGCTTTGCCTCTGGGGTATATTTAAATACATAAAATCAGGTTACAATTTTACATTTATCTTTTCCTTATGTCTTTTTTAAAGTAAAATATGTTGTTACATAAAAAGTGAATAACTATAATCGGCTTTCTTATGTGATTATATTTGTATTACATTGAATTCAGAAATCAATTAGAACTAACTGCTATATTTACATTTTACCAAGTTTAACATTTCCTTAATGATGTAAAACAATAAGGAATTATGTTAGAGAAAGAAAATGATTCAAGACAAGAGAATTATTCAAATGATGAGTTTCTACTGTTTGTTTTTTCTTATTTTCATTCTTAACTATACCAAAACAGGCAATAAAATAAAAATTCTACCACCTATTAAATTTGAAAATCTGACTAAAACATGCCAGTTCCCAAACCTAGAAATGCTACTTTTTTAAATTTGCGTTTTCCTAATATAGATTCTAAGTATGCTCTATATGTAGCTGTAATTTTTGAAGTCCATGAAAAACAAATAATTCAAATAAAATATAATTCCTCATATAACTTTTGACATTAATTAATTTGTTTAGATATTGTAAATTTCCGACAAATTAATTAATGTCAAAGCATTAACTTTTCAGTTTTTATCTGTGAATAAACAGTTTAAACTTTTTTTATTAATTTGGTGAATTTTAACAATTTATGTCCCATACTAAAGCTCGCATGTTTCATAAGATACTATAGTTGCGAGTATCTTTATTTATCTTCTAATTTATTTTTAAGAGAATCACTGATATTTAAAATAATTATTTTGCTTAACCAAATAAAAAATGCAAAATATCTCTTAGATATGAACTAGTAAATAATAAAATGCGTTCCTTATTATTGAGTTACATCTCGTATACCTTAAGCATTTCTATTCTTCATTCTAGAATTTCTTCATTCTAGAATTTCTTCATTCATAAATCGAAGATATATTTTTTAAGGATTTCAAATTTAAAGCTCAAAATATTTCTTAAAATATTTCTTTTCTTCACCCTATGAATAAAAATACTGTACCTGAACATATCGTATTTAATAACCACAATACAAATCCACTCCATTCCTTAGACTTCAACGGAAAAATGCACTGAAGAGCCAAAAAAACTGGTATACCTGCCTAATTTCGTGTAGGGCCCCGCGAGCACGCAGAAGTGCCGCAACACGACGTGGATTCGATCAATGTGTGAAGTAGTGCTGAAGATAATTGACACCATGAATCCTGCACGGCTGTCCATAAACCAGTGGGAGTAAGAGGGGGTGGGGATATCTACTGAACATTACGTTGCAAGGCATCCCAAATATGTTCAATAATGTTCTTTTCCGGAGATTTTGGTGGCCAGCGGAAGTGTCTAAATTCAGAAGAGTGCTCTTGGATCCACTCTCAGATATGAACATTATTGAACATAATTGGGATGCCTTACAACGTGATGTTCAGAGCATATCCCCACCCCCTCTTACTCCCACTGGTTTAAGGACAGCCGTGCAGGATTCATGGTGTCAATTATCTTCAGCACTACTTCACACATTGATCGAATCCATGCCACGTCGTGTTGCGGCACTTCTGCGTGATCGCGGGTCCCTACGCGATATTAGGCAGGTATACCAGTTTTTTTGGCTCTTCAGTGTAATTGGAAAAAAAAACATGCTTAACACATTTTTTTTCAAACATAAAAAAGCACTATAAAACTTACTATCGATTGTGAGGGAAAACATCGAACAAGTAATAAAAACAAAAATGTGATTAAATAAAAGATTAATTGGATGCATTCAGGTGATGATAGGTAGGGATATTTGGAATGGGACAAATTAGAGATTGACACCGAAAAATCAGGTATAATATATCAATCAGAATACCTCAGATGATAAAGGGCTGAAGTCCACCTTTTTGAGATTTTCATTTTGCACCATATTTGTTGTTGTAACTTTGGTATGGGTCTTAGGTTCAATGTCCCCTCTTGCAATCTGAACAATAAAAAATTAACTTAAAACATAAAAGGCCATTTAAATATAACATTTTCATGGCATGGTTTTTATGAAAAAATCAAAAGTGGACTTCAGTCCAAATATTTTCTCCTGATGTGTAAACTATTCTTTTAACTATTATTATTTTTTTAAGTACTGTGCAGAAAATAATATTAAAATATTGTATAGAATCTTCATGTGTGTAGAATCATTTTGTGAAATATTCTAAAATATTGTGTAGAATTATTGTGTTAAATATATTCTGAAATATTGGGTAGAATTATCGTGTTAAATATAGTCTAAAATATTGTGTAGAATATAAAAATTGATAAGAGATTTCAACTGTGTATGTATGTAAAAAGTTGTGCATGGGTATCTAAAAAATCAGATAAGGGTCTAAATATGAAATATCGGAATTGCTTTATAGATTGAAGATTTATTTTTTAACTTTCTGAAATCAGCAGCTTATATTTATTCTAAGCACAAAATATAATGAGTTAAAGTCTTAGACATTCAAGTCGCCAAATTATTATTTAATCTGGTGGTTATGCTTCCCGTCTCACAGTAGCTGTATTTCTAATCTCATCAGATCACTGTGTTTGTTGAACTATAATATCACAAGTAAATCATTCTAAAATGTTACAAGTCCAATTATTGCATTTTTATAAGATATTTTATAAGTATTTTGCAAGCTATAGGGTCAACCCGCTTTCATTTTCGGAGTTTAGTTTTCTCCATGCCATTGATCAACCGTTGGATGATTTCTCTATGACACGGAAAACGTTTGTTTATTGCCTTATACATAGAACTTAGTATTGTTACTATGTCATAGTTTTGAGTAATGATCTTTCCATATTACTTTGTGTTGTTCGATATATATATATATGTATTTTTTATTTTTTTGTACACTTTTATTCTGTTAGCAGTAGTTATTTTTTTATCTTAAATTTTATTTCTTCTCCTATTATNGGATTATATATATTGGAGATTGATAGAGCACAATTAGAAAAACACAAATCATCGCATGTAATCCATGATCCGAACGCAAGTTTAACACTATTGAGGGCACCTCTAAGCAACTGCTATAAAAAAAGCTATTCGTAGCAGCTGTCATTATTCGTTCCTTGGATCACGGATGAGTTGGATGTGTACTCAAATCAGGAGAAGGCCGAGAAGCATTAGACTTTACACAGCTGCTGATGTCAATGCAAGGGAAGCTCAAATAATGTACCGATAGCATGTTCCAACAAGTTGTATTTCTGATAAGAGGTCATTTCAAAGACTGCACCAAAGACTCTGCAGAAATGGGCTCTTTTTCAAGCTGCATGCATATTTGCGGACTTGGCAGGAATGTAATAACGCCACCTATAACAGACGAGATTGTTTATCGTATTTAGAGAGAGACCGCACAGTCCCAAGCCGTTCACGTCTTCCGTAATATGGTGTGGCGAGTGCTACGATACAAAGAAATGCATCCCTGCGATGCGCAGAGCATTCAGAGCCTGGAACCATCTGATTACCAGGGACGTATCAATTTTACCTCGTGGTTTCTTGGACAGATGGCTGTAGACACGGAATTTTATGCATATGTGTTGTTCCTTGACGAATGCACATGTGTTTCTGATACGATGTCCCATGAAGTCACACGCGAAGGTATTTCGAATATCCACAACTATCATGTGTTGGTAACTGAAAACCTGTACGCAATACTCCCACTTTCATTCCAGTGACGCTTCGCGCTATATTTTTGGCCGGAATCATGCACGATCCTCCAATTAGTACATGCCTACTGCCAACACGCCTGGATGGAGATTCATACTTATTTTTTTTGCAAGAGGTATTTTTTTGCCAGAACTATTAAACCATGTTCTAGCACACTCCACCCGACACATGTGATTCCTAGATCACGGAGCAACAGCTCATCGCGGTGTGGGCGTGGGTAACATCTTAGATATGTGTCCGGGGTGATGGATTGGCCATAACGGTCTAACCAACTGGTCGGCCCACTCACCGCGGTTCCAGACATGATCGGATTTATCATATCTGGACTGTTTCTTCTGGGACATATAAATAGCCTTATCTACGACGATGGTCAATAGATTCTGTTAAAGGCCTTATTGTCCAGATAGCCGTAGTTTCTGACACGATAATAGAGATGCCTCGTGTTTTCACCAATATACGTTGGTCACTCCGTTGACAGTGTGATGCCTGCGTTAATGTTAGTGGCCGTAATTTTGACGGGTTCCTGGGTTGGGGACAGGTTTTGTTTAATTTTATTTTTCTAAAAAAATGTTTTTATTCATTTTATCTCTGTCTGTCTTGTTTTCCATTATTTCGTGCCTCAGCATGCTTCGTGCTCTGGCGCTTTATGACTTGCGTTCCGACAATGGATTGTAAGGTGATTTGTGCTTGTTTGGTTCTGATCTATCACTCTCTAAAAATTAAGGATGAAGCAAAAATCGATCTCCATTTACTAACAATAAGAAATAGTTTTAATTTTTTTAAAGGTTGATACCAAAAAAAGACATTTTCTTAATGCTTGTATTTCTGGTTATTGCGTTATTTGTCTGCAAAGTATATGTAATTGTATAGCAGGAAATTTCATTTGGAAAAAGCTTTAAAACAGACAGGAATCAGAACACCATGAATTACAATTGCATGTTAGTTTTTCCCCTCAAAGTAAAAAGGTTTTATTTTTAAATTATCCTCAATTTCATTTCTTCTTTCTAATTTCCTTTTTAGAAGCATCTGTTCTTTCGACTTTTGGGCAAAATTAAAATTATATATATAAATATATCTATCTATCTATCTATCTATATATATATACAGTATTCTTACTTTTAAGTTGTCAATTACAAACTTTAAAACAATTTGTCAAAGCTTTCAAATGCATAAACTTTTAAACTTCCTTTAATAAAGCGTGGAAATGCAATAATTACGCACATAGTTGGTTTACTTTAATTCCTTTCGGAATTATTTTGAAAGGCTAATTTGACAAAGTTGAATGTTAATTTCATTTGATATGAGTTGTTAAAAATACCAACCCCCTTAATGGAAACTTTCATTAGAAAATGATTTTGAACATAAACTTTCTCTAGAGAATAGATTTTATTAATATTCGGAAAATTGTTCTGAAAGATGTTTCATAATTCAATATACTCATATTAATATGGGAGAATCTAAAATAAGCTTGGTGTGTCTTTAATACGCTGTAGTTAATGAGATCGAATTAAATGCTTCATTGTTTTTTAAAGGGAAAGCCGATCATTCAAAGTATCACAGATTATTTGCATTAAATCGAACTTATATGAGCCAAAAATTTAATACTAGATTGTTTCAGGAAGTTCCACTTTTCTACGAAATATTATAGTAGAAACTACACTCAAGATCATAAATTAAGGATAATTCGGAATCACACGGAAATTGAACCCTAAAATAAAAATTTTGCTTGTAGAATAATCACACACATCTTCTAACATAATATGACAATTTTCAGGAAGCCGTGAGATAACTCTGATAGTAAGTCATAACGACAAGAGAGTAATAAAGGGGTATATAAGGAAGGTGGGAAGAAGTAAAATTGTTCACCGGTGTTCTGCGTGTCTCTCAGTGCTACAACCGATGAGTTTTGACAAAGAGAACGCATATGCAATACATTTACGCGGTAAAATTATCAGCAGTCTGGAATGTGGGTGTAATCAAATGTATGTAGCCTAGGATTTTGGAATTGCATGAAGTGCCATTTTTAGACTTTGGCTTCGATTCCAAGACGGAGGAATTGTCAGTAGATGTTGCAGTTCATGTCACCCCCCGTGTGAGAACACCAAATAAAGACTGGTATTTGGCAGTAACTACCAAAAAAAAAAAGCAAACGGAACACAGCATCCGACCTGTCTTGTCAGCTATCTGCAGGCAAATCGTATACATATGTTTGGTAAATTTTTTATCTATACGCTAGTAAGCAACTCACTACCACCAATGATTAACCTGGAGTAAGGAACATGCATTGTGGACATCATAACATATTGCTTGTGTGATTAGTCCAGGTTTAGCTTGCAGACTGATTTACGCCGAACTTTCATATGAAGACAGCCTGTTACCTGTTTCCATCAAGATATTATCATTGAACGACACCGTTGCTGTGGTGCTGGATAGCTAGTATGGGGGATTAAGCTGGGCTGCATGTCCCATTCAGATCTGCATGTTCAAATCAGGACTATGAAAGGCTAAATTTATCAAGGCGTATCGTTCTGGAAGAACATGCACGTTTGTTCAGTAATGTAATGGGCGTACAATTCCTGTTTATAGATGACTTGTCCTCTCCAAGCAAACTTCATAAACCAATGCCTTCAATCTGAGAATATCACCCATATGAAGTGGTCAGTATCTCATAAGTTGGAGCTTGTTAACCACCTCCTACATGTATACCGCAATCTCAGAGGGCATTCTTTTCTGAGAGCAGTAATCTTCTCGATGATCAGATCAATAATTTTATACTCAGCAAGCCTAGACGTTGTATGGATTGTATTTCATTGCAATCCAATGTATAATCATCACAGCAACCATGAAATATTAAGTTTTTGTAATTGTGGTATTTTTTATAAAGCACCATAGATTTTACAAATACAAGAGCATATTAATTTTCGTAAACATTAATAATGAGACCTTAATCCCACGTATAATAAACGTTAAAAATAACATTTGAATAAAAATTTTAGACTTATTTTATCAGTCTCAAATTATGATTTGCTATTCTTGACATAGTTCGCAAAAATAAGACCCTCTTCCTGAATAAGTTGTGCAAGCTTCATGAGCCCAGTCTTTACAATCTCCACATTCAATCCAATCTTCTAGCGGTGGGTCCTCATAAGGCCCCCCACAAGCAAGACAAAAATACTCTTTTAAAATTTTTTTCTAAGAAGCTCTTTGTTTTTTAGTTTTACTTGGTTTACTTGTCGAAGGAAGATTTTTTTAATTTTTTTTTTGAGCAGCAGCATTGT